CAGACTGCCAAACGTCACTTCCTGAACCGACTAGAAACTAGCTCCAAACCTTGACTTTTCCTGCGTTTCTGCACTGCCAACTGCCACCCTGCTCGTGTCCTCCTGGAGCCGGCTTTCGTTCTGCACCGCTTCGGTCCAAGCTGGAGTCCAAGGACCGTGTCGCAGGGCTTTAAAACACCATGGCAGTGAAGGACGGATTGGGCCCGCGGCCCGTATCCCAGACTGCCAAACGTCACTTTCTGAACCGACTAGAAACTAGCTCCAAACCTTGACTTTTCCTGCGTTTCTGCATTGCCGACTGCCACCCTGCTCGTGTCCTCCTGGAGCCGGCTTTCGTTCTGCGGCCCGTAGCCCAGAGTGCCAAACGTTACTTTCTGAACCGACTAGAAACTAGCTCCAAACCTTGACTTTACCTGCGTTTCTGCACTGCCAACTGCCAACCTGCTCGTGTCCTCCTGGCGCCGGCTTTCGTTCTGCACCGCTTTGGTCCAAGCTGGAGTCCAAGGACCGTGTCGCAGGGCTAAAACACCATGGCAGTGAAGGACGGATTGGGCCCGCGGCCCGTATCCCAGACTGCCAAACGTCACTTTCTGAACCGACTAGAAACTAGCTCCAAACCTTGACTTCCTGCGTTTCTGCACTGCCAACTGCCCCCCTGCTCGTGTCCTCCTGGAGCCGGCCTTCGTTCTGCACCGCTTCGGTCCAAGCTGGAGTCCAAGGACCGTGTCGCAGGGCTAAAACACCATGGCAGAGAAGGACGGATTGGGCCCGTGGCCCGTATCCCAGACTGCCAAACGTCACTTTCTGAACCGACTAGAAACTAGCTCCAAACCTTGACTTTTCCTGCGCTTCTGCATTCCCAACTGCCACCCTGCTCGTGTCCTCCTGGAGCCGGCTTTCGTTCTGCACCGCTGCGGTCCAAGCTGGAGTCCAAGGACCGTGTCGCAGGGCTAAAACACCATGGCAGTGAAGGACGGATTGGGCCCGCGGCCCGTATCCCAGACTGCCAAACGTCACTTTCTGACCCGACTAGAAACTAGCTCCAAACCTTGACTTTTCCTGCGTTTCTGCACTGCCAACTGCCACCCTGCTCGTGTCCTCCTGGAGCCGGCCTTCGTTCTGCACCGCTTCGGTCCAAGCTGGAGTCCCAGGACCGTGTCGCAGGGCTAAAACACCATGGCAGTGAAGGACGGATTGGGCCCGCGGCCCGTATCCTAGACTGCCAAACGTCACTTTCCGAACCGACTAGAAACTAGCTCCAAACCTTGACTTTTCCTGCGTTTCTGCACTGCCAACTGCCACCCTGCTCGTGTCCTCCTGGAGCCGGCTTTCGTTCTGCGGCTCCGAACCTTGACTTTACCTGCGTTTCTGCACTGCCAACTGCCACCCTGCTCGTGTCGTCCTGGAGCCGGCTTTCGTTCTGCACCGCTTCGGTCTAAGCTGGAGTCCAAGGACCGTGTCGCAGGGCTAAAACACCATGGCAGTGAAGGACGGATTGGCCCGCGGCCCGTATCCCAGACTGCCAAACGTCACTTTCTGAACCGACTAGAAACTAGCTCCAAACCTTGACTTTTCCTGCGTTTCTGCACTGCCAACTGCCGCCCTGCTCCTGTCCTCCTGGAGCCGGCGGCTTTCGTTCTGCACCGCTTCGGTGCAAGCTGGAGTCCAAGGACCGTGTCGCAGGGCTAAAACACCATGGCAGTGAAGGACGGATTGGGCCCGCGGCCCGTATCCCAGACTGCCAAACGTCACTTTCTGAACCGACTAGGAACTAGCTCCAAACCTTGACTTTTCCTGCGTTTCTGCACTGCCAACTGCCACCCTGCTCTGGAGCCGGCTTTCGTTCTGCACCGCTTCGGTCCAAGCTGGAGTCCAAGGACCGTGTCGCAGGGCTAAAACACCATGGCAGTGAAGGACGGATTGGGCCCGCGGCCCGTATCCCAGACTGCCAAACGTCACTTTCTGAACCGACTAGAAACTAGCTCCAAACCTTGACTTTTCCTGCGTTTCTGCACTGCCAACTGCCACCCTGCTCGTGTCCTCCTGGAGCCGGCCTTCGTTCTGCACCGCTTCGGTCCAAGCTGGAGTCCAAGGACCGTGTTGCAGGGCTAAAACACCATGGCAGTGAAGGACGGATTGGGCCCGCGGCCCGTATCCCAGACTGCCAAACGTCACTTTCTGAACCGACTAGAAACTAGCTCCAAACCTTGACTTTTCCTGCGTTTCTGCACTGCCCACTGCCACCCTGCTCGTGTCCTCCTGGAGCCGGCTTTCGTTCTGCACCGCTTCGGTCCAAGCTGGAGTCCAAGGACCGTGTCGCAGGGCTAAAACACCATGGCAGGGAAGGACGGATTGGGCCCGCGGCCCGTATCCTAGACTGCCAAACGTCACTTTCCGAACCGACTAGAAACTAGCTCCAAACCTTGACTTTTCCTGCGTTTCTGCACTGCCAACTGCCACCCTGCTCGTGTCCTCCTGGAGCCGGCTTTTGTTCTGCGGCTCCAAACCTTGACTTTATGCGTTTCTGCACTGCCAACTGCCACCCTGCTCGTGTCCTCCTGGAGCCGGCTTTCGTTCTGCACCGCTTCGGTCTAAGCTGGAGTCCAAGGACCGTGTCGCAGGGCTAAAACCCCATGGCAGTGAAGGACGGATTAGGCCCGCGGCCCGTATCCCAGACTGCCAAACGTCACTTTCTGAACCGACTAGAAACTAGCTCCAAACCTTGACTTTTCCTACGTTTCTGCACTGCCAACTGCCACCCTGCTCGTGTCCTCCTGGAGCCGGCTTTCGTTCTGCACCGCTTCGGTCCAAGCTGGAGTCCAAGGACCGTGTCGCAGGGCTAAAACACCATGGCAGTGAAGGACGGATTGGGCCCGCGGCCCGTGTCCCAGACTGCCAAACGTCACTTTCTGAACCGACTAGAAACTAGCTCCAAACCTTGACTTTTCCTGCGTTTCTGCACTGCCAACTGCCACCCTGCTCGTGTCCTCCTGGAGCCGGCTTTCGTTCTGCACCGCTTCGGTCCAAGCTGGAGTCCAAGGACCGTGTCGCAAGGCTAAAACACCATGGCAGTGAAGGACGGATTGGGCCCGCGGCCCGTATCCCAGACTGCCAAACGTCACTTTCTGAACCGACTAGAAACTAGCTCCAAACCTTGACTTTACCTGCGTTTCTGCACTGCCAACTGCCACCCTGCTCGTGTCCTCCTGGAGCTGGCTTTCGTTCTGCACAGCTCCGGTCCAAGCTAAGGACCGTGTCGCAGGGCTAAAACACCATGGCAGTGAAGGACGGATTGGGCCCGCGGCCCGTATCCCAGACTGCCAAACGTCACTTTCTGAACCGACTAGAAACTAGCTCCCAACCTTGACTTTTCCTGCGTTTCTGCACTGCCAACTGCCACCCTGCTCGTGTCCTCCTGGAGCCGGCTTTCGTTCTGCACCGCTTCGGCCCAAGCTGGAGTCCAAGGACCGTGTCGCAGGGCTAAAACACCATGGCAGTGAAGGACGGATTGGGCCCGCGGCCCGTAGCCCAGACTGCCAAACGTTACTTTCTGAACTGACTAGAAACTAGCTCCAAACCTTGCCTTTACCTGCGTTTCTGCACTGCCAACTGCCACCCTGCTCGTGTCCTCCTGGAGCTGGCTCTCGTTCTGCACAGCTCCGGTCCAAGCTGGAGTCCAAGGACCGTGTCGCAGGGCTAAAACACCATGGCAGTGAAGGACGGATTGGGCCCGCGGCCCGTATCCCAGACTGCCAAACGTCACTTTCTGAACCGACTAGAAACTAGCTCCAAACCTTGACTTTTCCCGCGCTTCTACATTGCCAACTGCCACCCTGCTCGTGTCCTTCTGGAGCCGGCTTTCGTTCTGCACAAACTCTTCGCCCCTTCTGGCATCTTGTTGCTAGTAAGGCCTCCTCTGACGCGCTCCCCCTGCTGACGGCAGGGGTCGGCGGATTGGGAATAATACTCCCAACTGACTTTCATATTTTTCAGAGGGGTAGGTCTACCACCAACCAGATAATTAATGGGATACCCAGGATAGCCAGTTACCAAGCCACTAACGATGGATGGCGATGGGACGATGGTCAGGCTGTCAATGAGGACTGCATTTGTGCAAATTCTTCCCATCTCCGGGAATTGGTTCGAAGCTCGGGCTGTGGCTGTGGTATTGGCTTCCTGACAATATAAGAATCTGTAGATCAGATGGGAGTACTGTTGATTGTAGTTTTGATTGGATAGTATAATATGTATATATATATATAATTAATATATATATATATATACATATATCTATACATATATATATATATATGTAGACTTCATAGATCAATAAAGCTTGCATTGGACTAAGACAGGTCTCTTTTCCAGGACGGGCAACGAAAAACATCGATGCATCGAGGTGAATGTCACAGTAGATGGACTTGGTTGCTACGCATGCGAGCCCCGTCGACCACCTGCGTGCACCGAGGTGGGGTTTCAACCAGAGTGACTCACTCAACCAGAGATTGGTGAACTAACTGGCAGTAAGTTGTTGTTTTTTTTTTTAAACTTTGAAACATCCAACCCATCCAACTACACTTTTTATACTTTAATTTTAGGTTTGATAGTCACTGTACTACGATTCTATTATGGAAGAGGTAACGCTTCAGATGAATGACAAGAATCTTAAGAAGCCGAGAATTCAGCCGGATGTCTCCCAGAAGCGCCATCTGTTCGGTTCACAAAGTTTGGTGTAAACCCAATCATTGATCTTGGATCCCCATTGATAGAATTTTATAGATGATTCTACTGATTCTACCTTCAAAACCTGCACTTACCATCATTTATGATAATATTTATGGGGGATCTACTCGATGAATTTCCCGATTTTGTGGCACGAAAAATCGTCACATTTTCCGCGCCAGGCCCATGACCAATGCACACCGGAGGTTTGTGAATGTGGCAACTCCCGGACCCACGTGCAGCTGGCATGTTGCTACGCAAGTGGATCACAAAAACAAGGGCAACGTTCAAACCAAAGATGGCTTATTTTACTAATGGATCTAATGGGAAACATTGAGATCAACATGATCCCAGCAAACATAGGGGATTTCACCATCAAAAACACCTGGATTTGACCAGATGGGATTCCAAAGCCAGTGCAGATTTCTTTTCCTCGATGTCTAGGCTGATTTGCTGAAGCTTGTGGTAAAGTTGGGATCCCTGCAACAAAAAACAGCCATCTGCTGGTGATTCGACATGGCAGATCAAACACTCTGCGACCACTGTAGATGGAAGCCCTTGCTTCTACTGTGCGGATCTCAAGATGTCGGGAATCTTCGTGGAGGTTTCCAAGAATGAAAGGGATATGATTATCAATGGGCCATCTATGTTGAATAACTATGTAAGAAGTCACCAGAGGGTATAGATTTTCCCTCAATCACTTTCCTTTCTTGATGGTTTAACAATGTTTAACATGGCTTAACAGATCACCTGAAGCTGAACTTTCTACAGAATAACATATAATACCACACACACACATATATATATATTATATACACAATAACATACACATCATAGAATATAGATAATCCGGTTATTATATATATATACGTATATAGAATCCCATATCCCATAGATAATCCCATGTAATCACATAGATGTTTCCATTGCAGCTTCGGAATCGGAAAAATCTCCAAGGTGAAGCCATTAGCGGAGTGGGCCTGGGAAGGCAAGGGACAGACGAGCCCAGGATTTTAGACTTTGGCGATGTTTGATGGTTTTTTTTCTTCGATCTCGCTAGAATCAATGGCCATTTCAGGAACCGATTGATTGGAGGTACTTACCATATATATATATATATTGTTTTCCCAATTATTTCCCTATTTATTTCCCTATTTATTTCCCTATTTATTTTCCTATTTATTTCCCTATTTATTTCCCTATTTATTTCCCTATTTATTTCCCTATTTTATTTCCCTATTTATTTCCATATTTTATTTCCCTATTTATTTCCCTATTTATTTCCCTATTTATTTCCCTATTTATTTCCCTATTTATTTTCCTATTTTATTTCCCTATTTATTTCCCTATTTTATTTCCCTATTTATTTCCTTATTTATTTCCCTATTTATTTCCCTATTTATTTCCCTATTTATTTCCCTAAAATTTCCCTATTTTTTTCCCTATTTATTTCCCTATTTATTTCCCTATTTATTTCCCTATTTATTTCCCTATTTATTTCCCTATTTATTTCCCTATTTATTTCCCTATTTATTTCCCTATTTTATTTCCCTATTTTATTTCCCTATTTTATTTCCCTATTTATTTCCCTATTTATTTCCCTATGTTATTTCCCTATTTATTTCCGTATTTTATTTCCCTAATTGATTTCCCTATTTATTTCCCTATTTTATTTCCCTATTTATTTCCCTATTTATTTACCTAGTTTATTTCCCTATTTATTTCCCTATTTTATTTCCCTATTTTATTTCCCTATTTATTTCCCTATTTTATTTCCCTATTTTATTCCCATATTTATTTCCCTATTTATTTCCCTATTTTATTTCCCTATTTTATTTCCCTAATTTATTTCCCTATTTATTTCCCTGTTTTATTTCCCTATTTTATTTCCCTATTTATTTCCCTATTTATTTCCTATTTTATCCCTATTTTATTTCCCTATTTATTTCCCTATTTATTTCCTATTTTATCCCTGTTTTATTTCCCTATTTTATTTCCCTATTTATTTCCCTATTTATTTCCTATTTTATCCCTATTTTATTTCCCTATTTTATTTCCCTATTTTATTTCCCTATTTATTTCCCTATTTTATTTCCCTATTTATTTCCCTATTTTATTTCCCTATTTATTTCCCTATTTTATTTCCCTATTTTATTTCCCTATTTTATTTCTCTATTTTATTTCCCTATTTATTTCCCTATTTATTTCCCTCTTTTATTTCCCTATTTATTTCCCTAATTTATTTCCCTATTTATTTGCCTATTTTATTTCCCTATTTTATTTCCCTATTTATTTCCCTATTTTATGTCCCTATTTTATTTCCCTATTTATTCCCCCATTTATTTCCCTATTTATTTCCCTATTTTATTTCCCTATTTTATTTCCCTTTTTATTTCCCTATTTTATTTCCCTATTTTATTTCCCTATTTTATTTCCCTATGTTATTTCCCTATTTATTTCCCTATTTATTTCCCTATTTATTTCCCTATTTATTTCCCTATTTTATTTCCCTATTTTATTTCCCTATTTTATTTCCCTATTTATTTCCCTATTTATTTCCCTATGTTATTTCCCTATTTATTTCCGTATTTTATTTCCCTAATTGATTTCCCTATTTATTTCCCTATTTTATTTCCCTATTTATTTCCCTATTTATTTACCTAGTTTATTTCCCTATTTATTTCCCTATTTTATTTCCCTATTTTATTTCCCTATTTATTTCCCTATTTTATTTCCCTATTTTATTCCCATATTTATTTCCCTATTTATTTCCCTATTTATTTCCCTATTTATTTCCCTAATTTATTTCCCTATTTATTTCCCTGTTTTATTTCCCTATTTTATTTCCCTATTTATTTCCCTATTTATTTCCCTATTTTATTTTCCTATTTTATTCCCCTATTTATTTCCCTATTTTATTCCCTATTTATTTCCCTATTTATTTCCCTATTTAGTTCCCTATTTATGTCCCTATTTATGTCCCTATTTATTTCCCTATTTTATTTCCCTATTTATTTCCCTATTTTATTTCCCTATTTTATTTCCCTATTTATTTCCATATTTTATTTCCCTATTTATGTCCCTATTTATGTCCCTATTTATGTCCCTATTTATGTCCCTATTTATGTCCCTATTTATTTCCCTATTTTATTTCCCTATTTTATTTCCCTATTTATTTCCCTATTTATTTCCCTATTTATTTCCCTATTTTATTTCCCTATTTATTTACCTATTTATTTCCCTATTTATTTCCCTATTTTATTTCCCTATTTTATTTCCCTATTTTATTTCCCTATTTTATTTCCCTATTTATTTCCCTGTTTATTTCCCTATTTATTTCCCTATTTATTTCCCTATTTTATTTCCCTATTTTATTTCCCTATTTTATTTCCCTATTTTATTTCCCTATTTTATTTCCCTATGTTATTTCCCTATTTATTTCCCTATTTATTTCCCTATTTTATTTCCCTATTTTATTTCCCTATTTTATTTCCCTATTTTATTTCCCTATTTATTTCCCTATGTTATTTCCCTATGTTATTTCCCTATGTTATTTCCCTATGTTATTTCCCTATTTTATTTCCCTATTTATTTCCCTATTTTATTTCCCTATTTTATTTCCCTAATTTATTTCCCTAATTTATTTCCCTATTTTATTTCCCTATTTTATTTCCCTATTTATTTCCCTATTTATTTCCCTATTTTATTTCCCTATTTTATTTCCCTATTTTATTTCCCTATTTATTTCCCTATTTATTTCCCTATCTTATTTCCCTATCTTATTTCCCTATGTTATTTCCCTATGTTATTTCCCTATTTTATTTCCTTATTTATTTCCCTAATTTATTTCCCTATTTTATTTCCCTATTTATTTCCCTATTTTATTTCCCTATTTTATTTCCCTATTTTATTTCCCTATTTTATTTCCCTATTTTATTTCCCTATTTATTTCCCTATTTATTTCCCTATTTATTTCCCTATTTTATTTCCCTATTTATTTCCCTATGTTATTTCCCTATTTATTTCCCTATGTTATTTCCCTATTTATTTCCCTAATTTATTTCCCTATTTATTTCCCTATTTTATTTCCCTATTTTATTTCCCTATGTATTTCCTCAATTTATTTCCCTATTTTATTGCCCTATTTATTTCCCTAATTTATTTCCCTATTTATTTCCCTATTTATTTCCCTATTTATTTCCCTATTTTATTTCCCTATTTTATTTCCCTATTTTATTTCCCTATTTATTTCCCTATTTATTTCCCTATTTTATTTCCCTATTTATTTCCCTATTTATTTCCCTAATTTATTTCCCTATGTATTTCCCTATTTTATTTCCCTAATTTATTTCCCTATTTATTTCCCTATTTATTTCCCTATTTATTTCCCTATTTATTTCCCTATTTATTTCCCTATTTTATTTCCCTATTTTATTTCCCTAATTTATTTCCCTATGTTATTTCCCTATTTATTTCCCTAATTTATTTCCCTATGTTATTTCCCTATTTTATTTCCCTATTTTATTTCCCTATTTATTTCCCTATTTTATTTCCCTATTTATTTCCCTAATTTATTTCCCTAAGTTATTTACCTCTTTTATTTCCCTATTTTATTTCCCTATTTTATTTCCCTATTTTATTTCCCTATTTTATTTCCCTATTTTATTTCCCTAATTTATTTCCCTAATTTATTTCCCTATTTTATTCCCCTATTTTATTTCCCTATTTTATTTCCCTATTTTATTTCCCTATTTTATTTCCCTATATATTTCCCTATTTATTTCCCTATTTTATTTCCCTATTTATTTCCCAATTTTATTTCCCTATTTATTTCCCTATTTATTTACCTATTTTATTTCCCTATTTATTTCCCTATTTTATTTCCCTATTTTATTTCCCTATATATTTCCCTATTTATTTCCCTATTTTATTTCCCTATTTATTTCCCAATTTTATTTCCCTATTTATTTCCCTATTTATTTACCTATTTTATTTCCCTATTTATTTCCCTATTTGATTTCCCTATTTTATTCCCCTATTTATTTCCCTATTTATTTCCCTATTTATTTCCCTCTTTATTTCCCTATTTATTTCTCTATTTATTTCCCTATTTATTTCCCTATGTTATTTCCCTATTTTATTTCCCTATTTGATTTCCCTATTTTATTCCCCTATTTTATTTCCTTAATTTATTTCCCTCATTTATTTCCCTATTTTATTTCCCTATTTTATTTCCCTATTTATTTCCCTATTTATTTCCCTATTTTATTTCCCTATTTTATGTCCCTAATTTATTTCCCTATTTATTTCCCTATTTATTTCCCTATCTTATTTCCCTATTTATTTCCCTATTTTATTTCCCTATTTTATTGCCCTATTTATTTCCCTAATTTATTTCCCTATTTTATTTCCCTATTTATTTCCCTATTTATTACCCTATTTATTTCCCTATTTTATTTCCCTATTTTATTTCCCTAATTTATTGCCCTATTTATTTCCCTATTTATTTCCCTATTTATTTCCCTATTTATTTCCCTATTTATTTCCCTATTTTATTTCCCTAATTTATTTCCCTAATTTATTTCCCTATTTATTTCCCTATTTTATTTCCCTATTTATTTCCCTATTTTATTTCCCTATTTTATTTCCCTATTTATTTCCCTATTTATTTCCCTATTTTATTTCCCTATTTATTTCCCTAATTTATTTCCCTATTTATTTCCCTATTTTATTTCCCTATTTATTTCCCTATTTATTTCCCTATTTTATTTCCCTATTTATTTCCCTAATTTATTTCCCTATTTTATTTCCCTATTTTATTTCCCTATTTTATTTCCCTATTTATTTCCCTATTTATTTCCCTATATATATAATTATAATATATTATAATATATATATATATATACATTGAATGGTGTCAAACTGCAGATTTTTCCAGTACCATTTTGTTGATGTTCTTGAACCCAGGTCCGAGCGCTCCAGCTCAGCTCCAAGAAGGTCCGCCCGAAAATGATCCATTGAAACCTCCATGGATAGTTGGGAGATTTTCTTCAGCCAATGTTTGATTACCATGTTGGATAAAAGTTTGGAAACAAAAGAAGCTGCTATTTTTATATATATATATATTGTATATGGTGAATATCATGAATAGATATATATATATATAATTATATAGATTTAGCAATTGAATTGTAAATGGAATCCTAGTAGCCTAGCATAGTAACCATGTAACCAGGTGCGGGGAGATCACTTTGTCATTGTCACCCAGCTGTCCTCAGAGAAACTGACAGTTCAACTGTTTGGCGATTGGTTCAATGAGCCCATGACTGTGGGCCTTCGACCTTGGAAGTGTTTGGATGGTTTCAGATGTCGGAAACAAATTAGAGGAAACCATGCTTACCATCAGGTGTATTCTTGGGTAATCCAAAATGGAAATAACAAATTCCCCATTTTGTTTGATACCGTAGGTACAGTAAATCCTTTGCAAGTAGTGGAATGTTCGTTGCCACATTCCTGGAGGGTATCCCATCCATGATTTCGGACTTTGAAAGAAAGGGTGCGTGAAAGGACCCTTTGGACGTGGATGCAAGTCGCACCTTACTATCCAAGGAATCCTGGAACTTAGATTTTGGCACGAATTTGGCCTCAACAAATGGGTTTGTTTGAGAATGAGTACCTCCAAAAAGGCAATTTATGCGGGGAACATGGTGATTCAGCAGCAGATTTTAGGAGTTTCCCAAACATGTTCAAGCAACTCCAGCTAGTGATAATCAGTTTACATCATTTTACCATTTCATGTATTATAATTTTTAGCTGATAATATATTAAAAACATAAATGCAGAATTTGGATGGATGATGATGAATGTGGTATCCCTTCATGCTCATTCCAGCTGCCTCAGGCGGAATTCCACCTGCTGTACCAAATTTCCTCCCAAGGGCAAGAAGTGCGGAACCGCAGCAGGGTCAGGTCGTGGAAGCTCCCAAATCCATGAGATCTTCTGTGGCAATTTGTACCCACATTTTTGTGGCAATTTTGATAAGGAAAATATATGAACATTATGGGGGAAGATGATAAACCATGGGATTATGCCATTGTGGTTCCTAGTTTGCAACAACTTGGGCTCAGTGGCATTTTGCAGCTCGAGCTTTCTGCTTTTTTGTTGGTTGGAGAAGTGTCAACAGAACTGGCCCTGGAGGATTGCTTTGCTGTGTGATTTCCTTTATGATTCTTCGGTTTTCAGCTCAGGCCCTTGACACATCAAGATGAGGAGCGATGAAAAGGGTTCCTTGTTGACGACTTGAAAAACGACACTCTGGACAGCCTTGCATCGTAAGACACCATCATTTCAATTTTCTGGGACTGACTCGAGTTCAGGTAACTTTCTGAACAATAGTATACAATAATATAATATAATATAATATAATCTGGGGGAAAATATTGGAAAACTCTGGGATGATAAACATAAGTGCTCAGGCGTCGCCCATTCTGGGTGATTCTCACTTTTGTTGTTTCTATCATTTTGTATCCGCATCTTGGGTGATTAAATCTCACAGGAATCTCCAGGGGTCGATATGGGTGTTCAGAGGAAAACCCTCATATTCAATGGTCAAGAAGCATGTCAAGGCCATGGTTTGTTGGATTTGTTCCTTAGGAAAACCCCCATCGCCAGGAGGGCGGTGGACAGCGCGTCCGCTTCGGGCGGCAGCGTTCGGTGGCCGATGGCCCCAATGTGATGTCATGGCACAGTTGGGGTGTTGAACCATGGAAGATTGGGGACTTAATCAGGAAAAATGCTAGATGAATACGACAGAATCAGGAAATCCGGATGAGTAGTGCATGGGACATAATCATGATATTAAATTCATGGGGCACATCCAACAATAGTGGGGTTTGCGAGTAGGTATAACCCTACTTTGGGATTATTTAGAGGTACTGTAACCTCAAAATGGTTACAACATGTTACAACAATGGTGGTGATTCATGATTGGATTCACTTGGGTTGTCAAAAGAAGCACATTCAGAACACTTGGAGTCTCGCTGTACCCTTGTCGGCTTGCATGAAACGAGGAAAGAGAAGCTATTGCCGATTTCAATTAAATTTCTGGACCTGTTATGAACTATTCTGTCCCAGCTAGTCTGAAATATGCAACTATATGCAACCTTAATTATATTTAATTGTGATGTTCTAGATAGTTTTTTCGGGATACCGTAAAGCACACATTGTTGTTGAGTAAACCCTTTTTTTTTAATGATACATATTGTGAACCAACACCCAGGCTCCCCACTTTATTATAGATAAATATAGATAAATTCAACGGACCTCCAGTGAAAACACTGATTCATCATGATTCAAATGAGAAAAGTCATCCCCGCATCGTTCATGGTTCAGTCATCCCCATCGGCCGCGGGCAAAAACCACTGTCAGTGACTTTTTTCACTGAGGTATCCAAATTCGTACAAATGCAGTTTGTCAGTTGAACTTCTCATGTTTCAGGTATCAAACAAACATATCATAAAGTCTTTGTGGTTGCAACCACTCCGCATGCTTTGCCGATGTTCCGACAATCAGGTCTTTCCACCTACCCGGTGGCATCCAAAGAAGACTGATGCCACGTGCAGTGCTCAGTCAGCCGTGCTGGGGTGCTGTGACAACTTTCAGTAACGAGTCTGAACAAAAGATGTGGATTGTGCAATTGCCATTTTGTCTCAGTTCAATTCTGTGTTACTTGGGATCTTTACCAATGGGTTGCTTAATTGCGTGTTCTGTGATGTTCCTGATGGTGATGATGATGGTGATGATGATGGTGATGATGGTGATGATGATTGTCACTATTACTATTGCTTTTGTTTTTGCTAATTCTATTAGTTTTGTTATCATCATTCACTATCATTCATATTTATTGCTGTTATTCTTAATCTATAAGTATTAGTTATCATCATTCATTATCATTTATATTTATCTGGTGGTGGTTTGGAACATTTTTTATTTTTCCATATATTGGGAATAGTAACCCCAACTGACTTTCATATTTTTCAGAGGGGTGGCTCAACCACCAACCAGTTATTGTTATTAAACTAGGAGTATCCCAGGAATTGTCCTATGTTTTTTTGGTGTTTTGAAGCGCCTTCATGCATCCCGTGGCATCTCAGGCTGCCGGACATGTCTCTGAAACGGGAGTACGCAGGATGGCCCAGGCGACGATCGGAGACACCAGGACTGGACCGTCTTGGGGATGGGTCAAAACCTATTTGTTTGCCACGTTTAGTTTAGGTGAATAAACAAGCATTCACCAGCTATTTTGGGTACCTGACTCATAGCCATGTTCAAGTTGGTGAATGGTTGGGAAGCTGACCATTTGTTGCATTGCAGCATATCTATATATATATATATAAATATACATTTGTATATGTACATATCATATCTTGTTTGGGGTTAGTAGTTTGGAGCCAATCTGAAGTGTCAGGAGAAAAACAAAAAGGTGAAAGTACATATTACAATATTTTATGTTCATATATATATATATATATACATATTACTGTAAGATGTATATATATATAACATTAAATAATCAATCTCAGACTCGAAAAGGTATCACAACAAATATCAAACACAGCAAAGATGGGAGTCATGTTTGGCCAACAAACTCAGCCTGAGGTGTACGGATACAATGGGAGCTGTTGGGCACCTGAGACCATGCTGTGGGTTGTGCTGGTTGACTCTTTTGGACATCCGCGGGGAAGATCACCACCCGAAATGAGATTGCTCAGGAGTGGAATCATGCTGAGACCCTCAAATTCTTCAGAAGAATATGATGGGCGGTTTGATGTTGAGATTTTGAAGATAAGCTGATAGATACTTGTAGGTCCAAAACTGCAGCTTTCACAGAAAATTGAGGCCGCAATTCGTTGCATTTCGTCTCCGAGACGGAGATTGATTCGTCCTCAGCGCCCATTTTGCCACTGACAGAGACAATGGCAATCAGACAGCCCGGCAAAGGGGTCCCATCCGATCCATTTGGACGGTTGAAACATCTTCAGACCACCTGAAATTGTTTTCGCTTTAACAGACCTATTATCAATTTTGGTCGGTGCACCTTGCTGCCCTGTTTCTTTTTGCAACCGATGGGGAAGATCCTGGCCATCGATGGTTGAGGCTTATCCAGTTGCTTGTTTGGTCAGTTCCCCAGCTGGATTTTGGGGATGAAAGCAGCAAACACACAGGGGATTTCCATGTTGTTTTTTGTCCATGCCTGTATATGATAACATATATTCTTATCATGAAAAAATATAGTATTGGGATTTCCACATGTCTTTCTTTGTAGTCCAGTCAGAATAAAGAAGACAACTTGTACAGAGCATTGGGATGCATTGGTCAGTTAGCCAACTACCAACTTCCCGGCAAAGTGCTAGCTCAATGAGACAGTCGCCACCAAGATCATCACAGTGTTGCTATGGCCCCCAACAATGACCCAGACACTATCCGCTGATATCGCGGCTTGGGGGTCAACCGGTCAACCGGTCAACCCAGACGCCAGACATACCCCTCCTAGACTCTGGTCTGCCGAAATGTTGGACCATTGGATCATCCGATCTCAGCCGGAGGTCGTAATTTTAGACGTCTTTTCCAACAAACAGCGCTTCTTTGAGGGCCACACCAATGATGTGCAGTGCCTTGTGATGGACCCAGTGGGAGAAACTTCATGGAGAAAGAGGCAACCGTGGATGATGTGCCACCTCAATCGTTCCAGGAGCTTGAGAAATTTGATGGTGTTTTGCTGTTTGATGCTTAAGATGTCTTAAGATTATTTACTGGTTCCTGGTTTGAACTATGTCACTATGTGTTATTTTCAACAGTTGGGATCCCCAGAGGCATGGAATGAGCGCCACCAGTTGTGCATTTCTGGACAGATGGATGAGAAGGTGCAGCGGGATTGTCCCTGAGTTGATGGTCGGTCAGTGAATGTTGTTGGGATGTCGATGGTTGTATGAACGGTATGAAGATATACAAGAACTTGATAAGTACCACTTCTCTTTATCAATTTTTATCATATCAGCATGTAAACTTATCATAAACTGTACACTGTGTAAGTATTGTCTATGTGTAAACTGTGTAAACCACTTCTTTTTATCATATTTGTTTTCATAGAACATTTATGAATCATCGCAGCCAACGGTTGGCAAGGCCGATGGTGAAGACCCGCGCTAAAAGATCGTCAGAGCAAATACGCAATTAAGATTAATTCAGTAGGGATATTTGCAAAACCAATGGATTGTTAGTACTTGTTAGTCAATCCCATATGTTCCATGTATGGTATATGTACCTACATTTGGGTGATTTTTAGGGCAAAAGTTGGTAAATGTTCCATACATGATGACATGGAGCATTTGGGAATGTAAATGATATTTGAAGCGGTCTGGAGTCCATGATGTTCCTCTCGGATCTCCTTAGCATGATACCTCGCAATGGGGTTCGGCCAAGCTGCAGGGAACTGCGGGGCCAAAAGCCTGCATTTGGAGTCCAGCACGGCCCAGCAGCTTCTGCAACCTGTATGGCGCTTGATTGGATGACATGCCTGGAATGTCAAATCGAACCCCATGGAAAACGATTCTGCGTTTGGAACAATTAATCATGGTTAGATCTGTTAACCTTCCAGCATTTTCTGATTTAATCTGTTCATGATTTTACTTGAGATACAGCCGTTCCGCATTGCTCGTATACTGCCGAGGCCACACCCGCGTGATGCCAGATCAGTTAGCGCGGCAGCCATCAGCCCCTTACTTTGCCCTGGGGGGGACAAGTGGAAACCTTCAAGTTGAACCTGGTAAATCCCGGCAACTAAGGATTCGGTAGAATTGAATAATGCCAAACTTGTATTACTGGTTGGTGGTTTCAAACATGTGAACATGTGAATTATGTTCCATTTCATATATGGGATGTCATCCTGACAAAATGGACGAACTCCATCATTTTTCAGAGGGGTGGCTCAACCACCAACCAAAATTAGATGTTGAATGATTTTTGACCGTTGCCACTTGATAGTTATTTGACCGTCGCAGCGCTGTTAGGTCCTGATGGACATGTGGCTGTGACCTTTACCACCGACGATGCAGGGACTCCAATTTTGTTCTGGATCCGCTCATGATCCTCAACTGAGTTGCCATCATAATTCTGATGATGTGGTTGGGGAGTTTAATGCATTTCATAGTACGTACTATATAGTAATTATATAATTATTGTTCCACAAGTTTCAAGCATACTTGGGATGATTGGTTGAGATTGTTATTTTTTGGGATGGGTGAAAGTGATGGTTGTTTCTTGGCAATATTTTTGCCAGAAGCTGTGGATGACAAATCTGACTTTCTCCAAGTAGGAAACGGCTGCATAAGGGCGTCAAAGGCGTCTGTCTATCATGTGTCCTCATTGAGTGGGCCGCTGATCAGCTGTAAAACTCTGCAAGACAGATTGACCCATACTTGGACCCTGGTCGAGCCATGCTCGACAGAACATGCCCAGTCAATGAAGTGCTCGAAGTGACCAACCGATCATCCTTGATCTGTATTGATGAGAGGGATTGACTCCAAATGATTGGCCAACCATGAATGAAGTACTGTATGACGATACTGCATGTATAATATATATATATATCGTATATATATATAATATACATACATATTATGTGTGCATGTATAATACATATGTTTTCATCGGAAAATGGAAGATTCACATTCATGAATTACAGCATTGATGTATCATATTTTTTGATTATTTACAGCATAACCGCCCCACCGCAATGTCACTGGTAAAATGGTTTTAGTACGGGTAACTAGCCCAACATGCCGTGATTTGAGTTGCTGAATTAGGCATTCATTGAGTATCATTGATTTGTCCAGATATGCGTAGTTCTGCTGAGTTCGCTGATGTGGTAGAACGTTTCACCCAATAATAAACCGACCAGTTGGGGATGTGTATGTCACAACGTGTAACAACACATTTATGAAGGTGTATAATTGGTTATACCACATTATACCCCAAAATGGATGGGTTCTCCGCATGAATTGGTTTCATGGATCTTATTGCATTGTCATGTTATTTCATCCATCTATAGCAGCTCCCCCAAAAAATAGAAAGTTTAAAAACATGTTGAAACCTAAGAACATGGTTCGGAAACATCATCGAAGTACCATCCTGGAAACACAACGTTCTAGGTTTTTGGGTCGTTTGTTTCATGTTTTGTTTCATGGATACCCTCTGGTAAACTAACATAGCTATTGAAAATTGATGATGTATAGTGGATTTACCCATTAAACATGGTGATTTTCCATAGTTATGTTAGTTTACTGGAGGGTAGGTTCTCCAGAAATACTCCGAAGCCTGTCACCCCTGTCACCATGGAATCCGCGTGACGAGGCCCGAAGTTTTTATCTTTGGCGTGGCCCCTTTGGCCGCGCGGTCTTGGGACCCAGACCCAGCCATGGCAAGGTGGAAAAGCCACGATGGAAAGGGAATGGACCATGGATTTAGTATCTAAAGAAACTAATTATCTAAAGATATCAATAGTAATGGTGTATGGATTGTTGTAAATGAATTTACGATTTTACGTGGATTGGCGGTTAAGAGGAATCATCCCCAATTGGCTCGTATCTTATAGTGAAAAAGCCGGTGGCTTAAATAAGGTTGGGGACTGATGGTAATTTGCCTTGATTTGCTTCTGGGGAATACTTGTATATACTCGTTGGGTAGATTGTGGTAGATGAATGGGTCCATGGTGCAAATTGGGTATTTTGCAACAAACCTCCGGCAATGCAAGATGATAAGGGAAACTTAATCATGTGTAGATTCTAGATGATTTATTTGTGGCAAGTGGAGATTTTCAGTTGCCACGTTCGATTATTGGAGCGTTTCACGGGTTTGAACCACCAACCAGTCATGCTGCCACTGAGGTTGCAAAGGAGGCGACCTTGACTCATATCTTCTCTGGCTCTTCAGGACGTCAGCCGCAGACTTATTGAGATACCCCAAACTGATGTTGGCATTAGTCAATATGAAAAGGACATAAAAGGACACAAATTGCGGTGCTCACTTTATTTTGACCTATTCCAAGTTCCCAAGCAAAATTTTGGGTTGAAGACAGGATACTGGATCAAAACCTGAGCCAACAAAGAACATTTGTTTGACTGTTATATTTTGCTTACATGCCATGTTGGACACATCCCATGTTGTCATGTTGAAAGACACAGTCTCCAAGTTTGCTTGCTCGGTTCTGATACAGCACGCTGGCAGACATAGTCACAGACCGAAACCGTTGGTGTTCAGCTGATTGTTCAGTTGTATTGTTTATATGAGCAAGAGGCTAAACTCTCCGTGTAGGAGGTATGTATTTGAGCGCTCTCGTATGTAAAAATATGCATCTTGATATGTAAAACGATATAGTGAAGTCCCAAAAACGATAACCTGGGAATCATATTATATGTAAAAGCATTGTGGGAAGTGAAGGGGTGGTGTACATGACATGATGGTGGACACCTGTTCTAGAAGCATCTAGATCATCTAGGCTCTCAGTTGTGGGGTATACGTCATGACCAGCTCACACAACGGAAGATGTGCAAAAGTATGCTGACGCTCTTGATCCTGGCCAATTTCTTTATTTCTGATTATTGCAAACAGTTTTGTATCCAAGCACGTATTGCTACAGTATGTGGCAACTAGCTGGATTTGGATGCTCTTTTTGTCTCGCCATTGTTCAAGCCTTCCGGATGAGCGTTTTGTATTCTCCCGCTTTCATGCAAGCATTGACGATGACAACAGGCCTCCTTTCCAACATTCCTTGGTTCATGCCATTTTCCAAAAATGTTTCCCTCTTTGAACGATAACGAAAACGATAACTAAACGATAACCATTTCTTGACAAAATGTCCTTCGCTGATGGATGGCCCAGATGCGACAAGATTCTTGAGATGATTCTTTGCCGTTGAATATTATCACTTGCTTATTGCGATCTTTTCGCTGCTATGCATATTCTTTTGCGGCGCCCCATTGCTTTAGTCAATCCTGGTTCATCTCGGGCACACCGGCACACCTGCACCTGCAGGTCCGGTTTGGCGATCTTTCTCCTAGATGAAGATAGCCAAGGCAAAAGCATTGGACCATTGTGATGGTTTGCTACCCAGACGCTGGGGAATGAATGAAAGGCATGGAGCATGTCGCTGTGAGAGCTCATCCAGACTTCTTCCAACATGCTTCAGACGCTGAAGTGGAGGTGTAAAAAGGCTTTCCGCACGCAGTTTGCCAGGGGATGCAAATGATGCAATCAGGATTTACTGTAAAACGATATAGTGAAGTCCCAAAAACGATAACTTTGACCCGAGATCGCATTTTTCAATTGAGGTTTTGCCGATCGCTCATATATATATATATACGTATGTATAAGATACAGCAGTAGATAAGCTGCATAATTTTATCTAGTATTTTGTAGTACACACATAATACATGAATGGCATTCGGACAGTATGCGGAGAGCCAACGTATAGCAGCCACGTTGCGTTGCGTTGCTGAGGTCGACGCTGGGAGTTTTCATGTTCGAGGCAGCCTGTTCCTCTTCAACAATGACCTTCACCACAGCCAGGCTCTTAGATGCGCATGGAATATCTCACTTTACCGGTGGTTCGCTGGTAGTTACTGTAGCTGTTGTTATTTTTGTCCACCTTTTTGTAAAAAGTATTCACCACCAAATGATGGGGACATACCTCGGGGTAGCCGAGAAATGATCGGTGATTTGTTTCAGGGGAGGACAGTCCATGACAAGTATACGTTATAATACTATATAATTGTTAATGGCGACTGGTATGATATATTGTCATCCAATATTGACATATGGGAACCCTGTCCTCAAGCAAACTAGTAGAAGGCCACGTGGGTTGTGTGTTTGCAGGGACGGGTTAAGCTATGTTAAGCTGCAGGGAACTTCAGACCAATGGATGGGTTTCAGAGAAATGCGAAGGTATTGTTGTTTGACTTGCTGCCTGACATAATTATTCATACTGTTCAGATCTGTTCAGTATTATCATGCCTGGTGGCCTGCGAAGTGGTGCTTTCAGAGTAATGACTTTATTTCGCAGTGGAGAAGCAGCTGGTTACCACTCTTCGTCCATGCTTCCCATATGTCTTAACTTTTTGTTGTTGGTAATCCCGACTACTGTTTTGTTCCCTGAGCCCTAACCATGTTGATCAAATGTTTACCCAAGTTCGGATGATTGTGGGGCTGCTTCCCAGCCCGGCGCTGAGGTTGGCGTTGGCCACTTCAAGCACTGGGTGATCAATTTCCCTCAGAACTCGCCCATAACGGCCTGGTTCCTGGTTAAAACGTCTTGAAAAGTTGGAGGATCAGGGCAATGAGGGCACGGGTAGGGGGGGCTCCATACTAGGATATTTTTTTTTGATTAATTGGGTATATTACTTGATGTGGGTGTTGATTGTTTATGTTGTTGAACTGGTTTCATTTTGAGATGTTTCCCGGCTGTTGAAATTGGTTTGCCCAAGTTTGCCCATGTTGGAAGCTTGTGGATGGCGATATTGTGTTCGACAGAAGGCAGAACCTGACGGAGCCCCCCAATTCTGGACAGTCTGCACATGTTTTCCAACGTGAAACAAGTCATGGCTGAGAAGTTGGCCTTGCAGGTTAGTCAGAAGAAAGGTGTTTATGGCAAGAATCCTGCGAGGCTCAATGTGACGACGGAACTCAATAGTTGGGTTTGTCTGACAATAGGGTACCCATGCAGGGTACCCCAGATTTGTTGGCTATCATGTTTCTTTATATTTTTTGTTGCTGCTGTATTAAAACTGCTATTTGAGGAATTATCCCCTCCAGACAAGCCCAGCTTGCTTTGGGTGTTTGTTGTTACTTGTTTTTTTATCCATCGAATCTCCAACCTTTAAGATACTGAAGATTCGTCAGCAGTGCATCATCCAGGTCTTGCATGCGTTTTGCTTGGAAGTCGTGCTCCCGCTTTGAAGTATCCAATACAGTATATATAAATATACATATAATAAATATATATATATACATACATATTATTACATACATAGCAACAAGATGATAATGGCACGGTGGGTTCACTCAGCCAGGAATCCTTTGGATTGGGCTTGGCGCAAGGATGATGGTTCCGCCTGGCTGGTGTGGGGTCTCAACCTGGCTGCTGTTGAGATCTTGGGTTTCCTGCAGTGGCTTGGTCATCACCAATATTTAGTAAATGATTAAATCCTATACAACCCCCACAAACCTTAGAAGACCCCCGGTAAATTTATTGGTGATGTCTTACATTTCATGGCTTTTGCATGGCCTAACACCGTGAGTCTGGCTTTGTCTGAAAATACCCAAAAATCCCGGCCGATTCATGAACGTTCATCATCATGTTCCTTATTATTTTCTATGGCGTTTTATGGCCATTGAAGGGGAGTCTGCCGTAGCCCATTTTCAGTCGCACTGGTTTTTCTCTTAGGTGGCGGACAACGGTCAGCTCTACATGGTCATGAATCATAGCGCAACGGCCTCGAAACAGCTGGTGGGGAGACCCAGTCATGGGGGTAGGGTTTATAATGGAACACCTGATTTCAATGGATGATTTGGTGGAACCCCCAATTTAGGAAACTTCCATGTCACCATGTGTTATAGTTTTTTGTTATGCGTAGTAGTTATAGTCATATATATATATATAATATAATATACAGTCACAACTAAGGGCAAGATTATTTGTATTTGTTCAAAATGATGTTAGGTTTTATTTGATGTCTCTCGTGTGGATCCAAGCCGGCGCCAGACCTAGGGGGGGTCAACTTCACAATTGCCATAGTAAGAGTTGTGAAGGTCCCATGAATTTTGGGGATGACAAATAAAACAAGATGTGAAAAGACTCAAAAGGGACAGGAACACAACTAGAAAACTGCGGGTGTAAGGATCCCCAGTTGGGTGCAAGGATGAGATTTATGGCCAGTTCATACCCAACATGTCCAATTTCTTTTGGGATTTCCACCGTGACTTTCGTTTGCTGGATATGACTCTCTCATAATCTCAGCAGGAGGATGTAGGGACACTACCCTCTGATAGTTGAACGTGGCTAGCTGGTAACTCCCATGTAAATGGAGCTTTATAGCTGGGAAAATCATCGAAATCTTCCTGGTGGATTTTCAAGCCAGTTACGTCTGATTGCCGGAGGGATTTTTTTTTCACGTCTCTATATAGATCAACCTTGCATGGCTTGTTCTTGATTCAATACGTGTTGTTTTTTTAGCCAAACACAGGGACAGGTGACAATGAGCTCAACAAAGTGGCTGGCTATCTAAGACTGGCATAGATTGTTTTCATAAATCCAATAGATCCCAATTGCTGCGTAAATCTATTTAAATTGGCTACACATCCGCTACAAATCCTATGATCTATTACTATGCCAGTTCCACATAGACGAGTTCAAATGTCCAGCGTTGATCGAGGCATCTAAGCCTCTAGCATGTGCTCGGGCGCCCAGTGATGTTGCTGAAGTTCCAAAATGTGTCCCAAACATTTTTCATTTTTGCGGTATTATACATATATATATATATATAGACATTATAATTTATTGGTACATCAGGTACTATATTGCATATATATATATATATATATTGTGTGTGTGTGCACATTCCTATTTGAAATTTACAAATCAAATATATACAATGCAAATAGTACATATATTTTTGACATACTAGTAGATGAACATGTACAAATATTCCAATCTGCCAACCCAGGAAAGAGGACAGTTTTTGTTGGTTCCTGAGGTAGAGCAGCTTCCAGGGGGACGGTGGATCGCTGGGGCGGTCGATGGAACCATCTACGTGGGTTGCTTGGATAAAGTCTGCAATGATTTGACAAGTAATATCCCATAGGATCCATGGTGCTGCTATATATGGTAACATGTACCATCAATATACCCCATCCATGTTAGCATATATACCAGCACCATGGATCCTATGGGTATTAGCATATATGTATATATATATATATACATACATATATATATATATATATGCAATAGTAGTATTATAATGTATTGTACAGTTAGTATTATTGTATTAAGGGCATTCAACAAAAAGGCACATGGGATGTGTTTTCATCGAGGATTAGGGGTAAGTCTTCGTCTCAGTGAAAAATATTTTTGGGGCAGCCGTTAGCAAAACAATAACGTAGCAGAAAATCATTGAACAATAAATAGTATCTATGGTAATATACATATATAATATATAATTATATATTTATATATATATATATTTATACTGGTTGGTGGTTTGGAACATTTGGATGATTTTTCCATTAATATTGGGAATGTCATCATCCCAACTCCATCATTTTTCAGATGGGTTGAAACCACCAACCAGTATATATAGTAATCAATTGTGCGAATCTCGTCATAAAAATGTCATGGATGTCTAAGGGACTTTTCCAATGGTACCCGCCCTTTCTGAAAACTTCTAAGACGCCCGGAACAAAAGGCCTCTTATGTATTGGTGGGGGATACCGTATTGGGGGGGAACCAATTTATGGGAAACGTTGATGTTTTCGCGAATTTTCACCCTGATCTTTGGTATCCGTTTCAACTCAAATCCTGTATATATATATAATTAGTTTTTGCCTGAACCATTTCATTGATGATGCATGATATTGATTGATATCACTATGTTGTTGAGATTTTCACGCTTGCAAAAGATACAGATACAGGAAGACAACCCCAAAATTGAACAAATATAGTTCATGATGTTCCTGATTACGAATTGCATTTGGGAATAAGCTCCTGATTACGATTGCATTTGGGAATAAGCTCCAGTTCTGGACAAAACAATATAATATACGAATCTGCTGTATTATTGTACAGCGCATCAAAATTGGGAACTCGGCTGGTTCACTACTCAAACTCAGTGTCATTCTTGATCTAACCAACATTCTCTCAAAAAGTGAAAATGCTAGAAGTGGTTGAAGCGGAAATTTGCTGGAAACCTGTATTTGGGCGTATATTACAAATCATGGTTCCCAGTGTACAAGTGTTCCTTCAAGCCATCCATTGAGAAAGTAGTGTGTGTCCTAGACAATCTTAAGAGAATTATGTCATTCCCAGAAAACAGAGAATCTCACCTGGCAAAGATGTCAATGCGAAGCTGGCAACGGGTGACACGCATGGATTTCAACCTCCGAGGTTCTGTGGATTCAATGAAAGTCGAGGACCTGCACCCGAAAATGGATGAACAGAACGGGAGCGCCGTGTTTTTTTGGAACCTACAGGAGTCATATCTTTTCTTATGGCAACACATTACAGACCAATACTGAGGACGTCAAGCACAAAACAATCAGAGTATGCAGCAACCGTCAAACAAGGGGAATATGCAGGGTCAAACATGAGCAAATGGAGAAAACACGCACCCAGCACTATAAGAAAAAACTGAGAAAGTAACTACGACAATCCAACCAACAGAAAAGTGGTGCTCACCAATGAAAGCTTCTCTTCTCTTCTTTTCTCTTCTCTGACTCTTCCCATCTCTGCTTTTCATCTGCCCATATTGTCGGAAGTTTGGCTTCTAAACTTCCTTCGTATATATATATATATACATCCGTGTTGAAATAAGCCTTGTAGAATGGACGGACCTGAGACCTTAATAAAAACCAAAATACAGGCTGGAAATGCTTTTTTAGATTTTACTGTAGAATGAACCTGAGGGGACTGATAGACCTGGAAGATCCATTCTACAGTTCCTGTGTTTCCTTTGTTAGGTTTTTTCCAATTTGGAATATCGATGAATATCAATTTGACAAGCGTGTTGGGTTGGGCAGAATATCATGGAACCTGGTATAACCATTCTTTTGGATAGAACACGGTTTTCCTTTCTACAGTCGATGTTGTAGGTTTTTGGTGTGATGTTAACATATTTAGCAATTTTATAGGACTTATATGGTGTGTATCCATTTTATAGGGATCATAGAATTTATCTATTATTATCCATTTTACAGTATTATGGATGCTTATAGGTAACATACCACCCACATGAACCCAAATGAGGTAAAACCATGTGAAACATTGTGGAACCATTAACCTGTACGATATAGCTTGACGTCACGACGTCACCCCCGAATTAACGAGGCAAAATTTCGAAATTAAGGGGATATGTACATAAAGTATCTAACCCTACCTGTACATAAAGGATTGATCTTGGATGATCTTGAGAATGATTTTGGTGTTGATGGTGGATTGGGATTTCCATTTTGCAGAGCATATCATTGGAAGACCTGGTTTACCATTTTACACCAGGGCAGGGTTGACCCCCACAAAACAAGATGTTAAATTTGGGATATTTTACTTGATTTTTCAAATGTTCGTATATGCATTTTTCAGTGGGGAGCCATTTGCATTTTATGGTTTGGGGTTTGAGCTATTCATTTTACATCATATTACAGCATAACCATTCTACAGTAAAAAAAAAAACGTGTTTTTGTAAAAAAAATACTTTACTTCGTGTGATCCCCACCATGACATTTATACATTTTCTTACTGGCAAATCTTCTGGCATTCAATATGACATATCTTCTGACATTCTATTTGGCATTCTATCTGGCATATCTTCTGGCATATGATCTGGCATATCTTCTGGCATATCTTCTGGCATTCTATCTGGCAAATCTTCTGGCATTCTATCTGGCATATCTTCTGGCATTCTATCTGACATATCTTCTGGCATTCTATCTGGCATATCTTCTTCTGGCATATATTCTGACATATCTTCTGGCATTCTATCTGACATATCTTCTGGCATATATTCTATATCTTCTGGCATATCTTCTGGCATATCTTCTGGCATATCTTCTGATATCTATCTGGCATATCTTCTGGCATATTTTCTGGCATTCTATCTGGCAATCTTCTGGCATTCTATCTGGCATTCTATCTGGCATATCTTCTGGCATATTATCTGGCATTCTATCTGGCATATCTTCTGGCATATATTCTGACATATCTTCTGGCATTCTATCTGGCATTCTATTTGGCATTCTATCTGGCATATCTTCTGGCATATCTTCTGACATTCTTTCTGACATTCTTTCTAACTTTCTTCTGCACATTCTTTGTCCCATATCTTCCTACATGAGGTCCGGCAGGGAACACTTGGCATGGATCCTCGCGGTTGAGGTCCGGCAGGGAACACTGGGCGTGGATGGTCGTGGTTGAGGTCCGGCAGGGACAGTGGGCCCGGATACCGCGGTTGAGGTCCGGCAGGGAACACTGGGCGTGGATGGTCGTGGTTGAGGTCCGGCAGGGAACACTGGGCGTGGATGGTCGTGGTTGAGGTCCGGCAGAGAACACTGTGGATCGCGGGTCGCAGTTGGACGAGGAGGACGAGGACGACGAGGACGACGAGGACGACAAGGACGACAAGGATGACAAGGAGGACGAGGAGGACGAGGAGGAGAGGAGGAGGAGGAGGAGGACGAGGCAGGAGGAGGCAACTGACATAAAATCTAACAACCCTCACCTGGCAGGTGGGGAAAAACCGTATTACAGGTTTCCACCATTCTACAGTGTAGAATGGTTTTCCCAAGTGCCCCCTGTTTATTTCAACGGGGATATATATACTATATATATATATATATACAGTATATAGATATAGATAAATTAGATAAATATATATATATATATATAGATTTAGATATATACATACATAGCCTCCCATAAAAAGTAGGTTATGAAGTGGGTAAACCAATCGGCGCAGGCTAGGGAAACGTGTTGCTTCAAAACATCATACCGTGCGAAGTGCATAACTGTGCCGCAACATGAGGTGGCTGATAGCCGTTGTTTTAGCCGAAACCCCATGGCTGATTGCTTTCCAGCGACCATGTTTGGCCTGGGCCGCTTCACAACGAGCCTGGTGCTGTGTTGCCTGGTTCACATCGTGCTGGTAAGGGCCGATGATGAAGTACATGCCACTGACTTGTTGCAGCAGAAGTATTTGCTACATCAGAAGCTGATCTCAGATGGGACGGGGGGGGCGTTGTTCTGATAATTTGGTACCCCCAAAACCTATGTTTTCCCCAATTAAATTGGCAAATGAAACTCATCTCAGATGTGATGTTCCTTAAAATTGGTGAGATCCCAAGTCACCAAGTTATACGTATTTCCCATTGTGAATTGACCAATTATGGATGATTATGGGCACCCTATTTTCGGACCCCCCGGATGTTTTTGTTGTCCTTGAACATGATGGAAGTGAATTTTGTTGTTGTTTCTGGTATGGCGCATTTAAGGACAAACCGTCAAACCCAAGTTTGTTGTATTTGGTCCATCGTTTTCATATTCAGATCATCCATAGTGGGATATGTGATGATGTGTATGGTCTGGGAATTGCATGGTTAGCCGTTTTTTTCTCACCACATAACGTCCAATGTGGTTTTGTTTGCAATTTGCAAATATGGTATTCACAAATTTGATGTGTTATCTTCATTTTCGAAAAAAATGTGTTGGGCACGTTGTATCCACAATTATGTGGGGCGGGGATCTGCCAGGAACTGTGGATTTGCCCCTGGAATTCATTTGGTGAAGCTTCCCAAACTCAAGCGCCAATTTGCTTTCGTGGTACCTCGTGGACGTGTGGAAAGCTCCAGAGGCGCACCAGTCTTCATGTTTTTCCATGGAGTTTATCAGACGCCTTGGTTTTCCATCAACATTCTGGGCTTGCCCGACATGCTGGAGCGCTACGGCTGGTTCGGAATTCTTCCATTTGGAGACTGAGTGATGATTTGAATAAGTTCTATTTTCATCTATTTTCCAGATTGTTCAAGCTTAATTTGGGATGATGAC